CCGGCCTTCCAGTGAGTGCCGTGCGCCGGCCCCCGGGTCTCCCCTGTCTGTGGCGGGGCTGTGTGTTCGCCCCCTCAGGGCGGTTGCGCCTCACACTCCCCCTCGGGCCTCCCGCCTCCTTGGCCTTCTCCCCTGAGGCGAGCTCAAAGGTCGGGCCCAGGCGGGCAGCGCCTCCGCCAGCTGGTGGCTGAGCAGAGCTTGAGGGGGGTTGTGGGTTTGGGTGGCCCGGGGGTGGGGTGGGTTACCTGCTGGGGTGGTTTGGGGTTGTTTGCCCTGCCTGCGCCCGGCGGGGAGGGGGGTGGGTGTGTGTCTCTGGTTGGATTCCCCTTCTCAGCGCAGAGAGGGTGTGAGAGGCTCCGGAAAGGTACTGGCTTCAAACCCTACTCGTGTCTGTAGAAAGCTGCGTGTGTAACGTGGTGAAGGTAAAGCTGGACGTGTTGCCACGAGTGGACAAAGTGTAGGTGCCCGTCCGTTCCTGGGGATGATATAGCTGTGTTAGCCTGCGTGCCTCCACAGGAGTGGAGAAGCTGTGCGTCATCCCCAGGAACTGGAAAAAGGTGTACGTGTATATCTGTCTCAGGTGTGTTCACCCGGGAATCAGAGCTTTTACAGAAAATCCCACCTGTTCACGGAGAAGGATGTTGCATTTGTAAACTCCTTTCTTTTCATCAGATATGAAGGAAAGCTTGGCGGTTCTAGATCAGTCTTGTTTCAGACTTCATGGCAGGGATTGCAATTAGGGTGAGCTGAAACTGGGCAAAAGGTTAGCCCGAGACTAAACATTCAACAGAAACTTAGCTGCTTTCAGTGCAAGCTGAAGCTTGCTGAGCAAGAAATTTGATGTTAATTTTTATTGGTGGGATTATCTAGCTCATTTTAAATTGCTTCAAGCAGCTTTAAAGTGAGGTGTCCTAAGTTGACTATTGGGAAGGGGAATGTAGCGTGACTGAAGTTGACTATCGGGAAGGGCAATACAGTGTGACTTAAGTTACAGTACCTCTGTTTTCTGTGGTAATAACTTATTTTTGCTTCTACTTTTAACTGCTAAGAGAATTAAAGTCTGTGATGGAAAAAACGAACAGCGTAAAGATATAAATATTATTCTTTGCTGTGGAAACCTGTAAGTTTTGCTGAGACGAAGTAGTTCCCTTCCTTATACGGAAATAAATAGTATAGCAAGTATGCTTCATACTGAAAGCAGTGCAGAAAGAAGCAGCTCCATAGCAATTCAAGCTTGACTTTTTTTCTTTTTTTTTTTTTCTTTTCTGTGAATTTACTGGACTGCAGAAGTGGAAAGTCAGGGGATGAGGCAGTAAACATGGGAAATGACCAAAATGTTTGACTTACAGGATGATAATATGTGATTAGCTTTTTAATGAAACAGCAAAAGTTAGACAGGTACTTGACAGAATTCAAATACCGGTCTAGTACTTGCAGAGCCTTATTATGAAGGGCATAGATGAAATGACTTAAACTTATGGGCATACAAAGGAGTAAAAGTTTACTAAATTAAAAACAAATAATTGACTCATAATACCTCTTTTTGACAACAGTTAACAGTAATACATTCAATCTCTTGACATGCTACATAAAGGTAATTGGATAGTTTGGTTAGAGGGGGAAATGGGGGGACCCAAAGCCCTTGCATATGTTGTTGTGTAATTCCTTAGATTCTCAATTAGGTCACACCACCCTTTTCTCTAAGGGTGGATTCAAAGGAGCTCTCAAACTTCCTTCCTGCTGTATCATTGACTCATTGTATAATAGAAGAGCTGAGAACTAGTATTAGAAATAAAGCTTTCAGATTGAAAAGTCCATAAATATTCTTGGTAGTGCATATGAGGTAGTACTTTTTTGTGTAGAAAAATGACCTTGGTTTTTATAGCATCAAGTTTGATGGATCTAGATGTGGCATTTCATACTTTCTTAGTCAATACAATAAATAAAATGAATGTGTACATTTCAGATATGCTGTGGTTCCACGTATACACTGACTATCTCATTATGGGTTTTTTTCCCCCAACAGACCTGTATTTTCTGACTGGAATTTTTACTTCCCACAAATGTTACTCAATGTACTGAGCGTTTGGCTACCAGGTTCCCTATCCTAGCACTACCAAAACACACTGTCATATAGTTAGCCAAGAACTCTGAAGAAATGAAAATACAAACTTATTTTGAGTGCTGATCTTGCTTGTCTGAATTTGTTTAGGTCTGCTGACTTGGGTGACAACCTGCTGACCAGACCTGGACAACCCACAGTTGCGCGAATACCTCCACCTATTTTGCCAAGACCATCACAGCAAACGGGAAGCAGTAGTCTGAGCACTTTCAGGCCAGCATATAGTAGTTCTTTTTCTCCAGGCTATGGTTCATATGGAACCTCTTTTTATGGAAGCTATAGTCCTTACAGTTACGGATATGGTGGCTTGGGTTATAACCGCTTTCGTACAGATGATATTCCTCC